GAACGCATTGGGAAGGTGAAAAAACTCGACAATTGGGTGCCCCACAATCGGAGTGACCGGCAGGAATCGGCACGTCTCGAGGTTCCTTCTTCACTGCTTTTGCGCAAAAGAATTGACCCCCGTTTTGAACCGATTTGTCACCTGTGATGAAAAATGGATCATGTATGATAACAGGAGACGTTCCGGACAGTGGTTGGATTTGGAGGAACCACCGAGGTAATTTTCAAAGCCGAACCCTCGCGAAAAAAATTCTGGTCAGGTTTGGTGGTCATCGGCTGTTGTAATCCACTATAACTTTCATCACCAGGCCAAACCATCACAGCAGAACCCTACTGTGAACAAACCGACCAAATGTACCGAAAATATTGTCAGCTGCAGCCAACACTTATCAAAAGAAAGGGTCCGATTCTTTTGCATGACAACGCCCGCCCACACGTTTCACAAATCACTATCCATAAATTGAACGAATTGGGAGTTGAAGTTCTACCTCACCCACCATATTCTCTAGACCTTTCACCAACCGACTGTCACCTTTTCAGACATTTTCAGAACTTTCCTGCTGAGAAATACTTCATCAAACAGGACCAGGCAAAAAAGACCTTCGCAGATTTCGTGGATTCTCGACCACCCAGTTTTTTTCTTTGATGGGATTTCTCGACTGCTGCCACATTGGCAAAAGTGTGCTGATTCGAATGGTGCTTATTTGGATTAAATCCGATGAGTGTTAAGAAAGTTATGATCGTTTAAAGTTAAACACCCAAAACGCTAAGAACTTTCCGGACAACCTAATAGATCCTCTCGGGACAATGCTAAGTATTCATCTGTTAAGATGTGGAGTGAACGGAAGAATTCGCTTGCGAATCTAGGCTGTTGTACAGCCATATCCAACGCTCGATAATCTTCCGCACGAGACATTGTTGTTTGATGAGTTGTCACAGCGCTACTTCTAAATATGAAGCGTGCATACGGTCCAGCACACATCAGCTCCATGTGTGAGCACCACAGCCCAACCCCCCTCCCCTCCCCACCCCTGCTTCACCCACGAGTTGTCTTTAAACTCTTCGGTGTACAGCCGATCGCAGAGACCAAGAGCCGCCTCCATTTCGTTCATGCCGCGTTTATTCGGGTTCGACCGCCATGGTACACGCTACGCTCGGTACGGTCGCCTCTTGTGGTCAGGTATTAGTCGGAAGTTCCCCTGTGGTTTTTCCATGGTTTCCTACGATGCTTGGTCTTTTTCCTTTCAACCACAGGCGTTTTGCAGCCAGTATTTCCTGCCATTTCGGCCCCTTGCACTATACTTTACCTCTTCTACTAACCATTAGATAGGACTAGACTGCATCTCTACCGGAGATGCTTCATGTACAGCGCACGACCTTACAGTGGAGGTACACGTCATGATTGGGGTACACGAGGATTAGCACTGAGCCCGTTCCTACTAGCCTCATCAACAAGACAGCATTGTCTGCTGAAGAAAGTTCTTGAATTCCCTCTTTCCTCACCACTCTCCCCGCCCCCCCCAACGAATTCTTTCCTATGACATGCAGACCTAGTAGGAACGTTCTCAGAGCTATTCTGTACCCAATAGTGACGTCTACCTCCTGTGTAAGGTTGTGCAGTGAGCGTGGAGCACTCCGGTAGAGATGCATTCCATTCCTCTATCTTTGGTAGAGATGCAATCCACTCACATCTCATGGTAAGTCGATGGGGTCCGAAAAACGCTGCCGACATCATGGACATTTGCAAATTAGCAAATTCCACCATTGTATGTCCTAGACGTTGAATGGGAAGACAACAATGTACGTACTGGTTGATTAATAGTCAAAAATAACACGAAAACCGTGGATGCCTCCTTATTCTGAGCGAAACGCTGAGATTCGCTGAGTTCTGGCGAGAAACATAACACGTTGACGACAACGCGCGTTTTTATTATACTTTTTGGCCGCGTGGGACACGCGCGCTTTCTTGAACGCCACAAGCGCGGTACTCATACAGTTCAGACCGTCCCACAAAGCGCTTTTTTGGAGATTGGATCGTAAAACCTGGTTTAGAGATCAATTGTGAGGTAAGTCAATTATTTACCATGGAAAAATCTGGGCTGGCCAACTCTCTTTGCACCAGGGCCAGGAATTTGTCTGTAACCAATTTTTTTCATAAAAAACGCAAATCGTGCTTTCTATATGATTCAGAATACGTCATCTTATATTTTTTCATACTTATCAATGTTGTAATTGTCTATATTTATTGGCAAAGAGTTAAACAGCAAACCAATCCAAAGTTGAGGAGCAAAGCAACTCATATAGTGCTCTTTCCACAGGAACGCTTTGCCGAACTAATGTGTACTGGCCTTTAAAATGAATAGGAGAAACTAAACAAAAAAAATCTAACACTAGGGAAAGATATGGATTTGTTCATCGTGATTCAGATACAATTCGCGCGGTCCCACGTGGCCCACAACGCGCGCATTAAATGTGTATCACGCTGTCGTCAATGTGTTATTAAGGTGGGAGAAACCACATGCGCGATTAAGGCGACACACCCCAGCGTGGGAGAGCAGACACTTGAGCAACTCTGTGCTTATGCACTCCAACCCTACCTCTTTCTAACGCGAAATGGTGTACAATTTCCATTCTACATTCACTACTTTTTTCCTCGCTCACAACTATGACGATGACTACTCGCAAAACGTGCCACTGAAGCATATTCTGATTCAATACCGCTAATTCGAAACATGTGGAGCTCTCTACCTGAAAGAGAAAAAGAACCGCACTGGAGAGGAAGCTGCGCAGCGAGAGCTGAAGTATTCAACATTTCTGCACAACTATGGAGACCAGAAGGGCAACAATGGTTCGAGTACCGCGAAAAAACACGCTAAGTGCGGTAAGATGGCCGACAGCGCTAGGCCACTGCAGGGTTCGAAACTATGAAGGAGGCCAATTTGGAATCGCCAAAGAGATTCTAGAGATCTACAAAGAGATTCGCACAACCTGTAAATTATTGATCCAGATCAGACATGACAAAACGAAAAATGCTTATCATTAACGCGGAAGCTACTATAAGATTAGATTCCGGAGTGGGGGTCGTTCAGTTGATAGTGTTCTGTTGCAGTGATAGCTGAAAATCCATTCACTAGATCTACTGAGGTATGATATTTCATCTCGCCATCTTGGTAAGTTGACTTGTGGTCATGGTAGCAATGTAGGGTATAAGGTGAAGACCGAATGAGGGCCCTTGACAGCGATGTACTGGGAGAAGGTAACCAAATGCCGAAGAAACCCCGGATTGCACTGAAATGCGTGGCGGAACTAATTAGCTGCGGTCGCTTTAATTTTCTATTTCGAACGGCAAATACATTTTGTTGCTTCATATAGATTGAGAAGTTGTCGAAATTGGCCCTGGCCAACTTTTCAGTATTGCTTATACTTTAAAGGCTCGACCTCGGTATGTTGGGGCGCCCATGGAAAGTCATTCGTTTTTGTCTCCCGTGATCGCTATACGGTCGGCACCTAAAGTCTTACGAGCGTGATGTCTTGCCACATGCCTAGCTGGCCTGCGCCCAAGAACATCTTCGACGGTTTCGCTCTGGAAACGTTAGGAAGTCCGTCAGGGTGCCATTACTGTTGTCTTACGAAGCAGGCAGTTCAGGACGCGGAACGCTTTCTGTGAACGGTATCTTTGCATGATCTAGGGGCTAAGGTTCAGGAAAAGGATAAATAAGGTTTATCTTCTCTGGCACTTCTGGGAATGCTGTAGTTGCTCGTCTTGCGCCTGGTGCCACGTTCTTTGGAGTGAGCGATGGTTTCTTCAACAACAGGAGCTTTCAAGATCAAAATCATCTGTAATTCGAGCTCTTAGCTTCTGCCAATGTGAGCCATAAACAATGCTGCGGCAAAAATTTTGGAAGGTGGTGCCTGTGCGGAGGCGCTTCCTTCCCCCTCGACCTGGCTCTTCACCAGGTCAAAGGCACCTTCTGTCCTAGCATTGTGGTCCAGGGGGATGGATCCGCGCCCCGCGCGGGCTTACAGGCGCTTGCCTATGCTCGCGGCGCTGCCACGCGGTATGCTAACGTTGCTGTGTCCAACCGGTAGGCCCTTACTGCCCCTACATTGTGTGCGCACTACGCTCACGTACTCTATGTTACCCTCTTACCTACGCTCTACCTCCGCGCCCTACCTAAGAATATCTGCTCCCCTAGCTGCAGACTAGGATGCCTCTAATATATAGCTAGAACCAACAGCCGGCATATTAACGTCTATGCTGAGAACTGTGAAGAAACCGTGATAAATAAAATGTTCGAGGAACGTTGTGGTCTTAACCACTATTGCTACATAACAATACACTAAATATTAAACTGATTTACCTCTATTATAACAACTACAGAAGGATAGCAAAGAAATAAAGAACCCTACGCTACACGGACGAACCCTGCCTCACTGCCTACGGGCCACGAGGAAACAGCCCACTAGGGCATCGGGAACATCCTCCCCCTCCGGCTGCCCGGAAGGTTCGGATGCACCTAAGCACCTAGTGGTTACCTGGGATAGTCGACGGCCAGTAGTAGTGCGGCTCCTCTGCGTGGTACGGCTCGATGGTGATGACTGCGACCAGCTGAGATAGGTAATACGTTGACGCTGGAACGGAGAGCGAGAAGGAGCGACCAGTCGGCACGGCTGCAGGACGTAGAAGTGACAGACAGGCCAGAGTCGACGCCGACTCTGCATCCCTAGCGGCTTCGCGAACATTCGACCGTTCCGCCAAGCGCGCCAGGACCGCCGCGCCCAACCATAAACGCGACCCTTCAAAGAGAGTCGTACGAAAGTCACGACAGAAGGTTCGCCATCACTGTATTGCTCACAAGGAGCCCGAAAGGCCGCAGTATCAACCGTATCAGCAAGAAAACTTTTTTTGCTAAAAGCTCCTCGAGGAGCTGAAAATGAAATGCTGTGCATGTGCACGCTTTTCAACTTGCAACGTCTTTTGCAGGAGCTGGATATTAACACATGCTGACAGTCGTGCTTGTTCTTGCTTGCTGTTGTACCACAGACGTTCTTTCAGACACGCTACTATCTGGTTCGTTAACATTCATCACTTTTAGTAAGTCATCTGCAAGAAATAAAATTTCATTTTTTGCTGCTCCTCTCCTTGTGACAAGTTGGCCGGCACACACTGCCGCGTGCATCATACGAGAAGTATGCCTTACAGAGTTTACCACCTACTAGACATCCCCCACTAGAAAGCTAGGTTTGGTGTTGCATTAGAGGAGAGGAGACCTGCTATGAACCATGTTGAAGCCTTCGAAAGCAAAAAAAAATAGAATAAAAGCAAAAAACGCAGCAGTATAAAACCTTCGCCTTGCAATATCGCGGTAGATTCACATCAATACATTACAAGTTACAATTTTTTTAAGATCGGAATCATCGCAGAGACCGCCGTGCCGGTTACCACTGGACTGGTGTGTGCATTGACGGACGTGCTCAATCTCCTATTGACCTTGTATTAGGTCTAACCTTTTAAAGTGATATCAGTTCTGACTTCTATACCGTTTCGAGTTTTTCCTTACCATTCTTCATGTTGTGTTCGTACTCTGTATTCTGTATGTACTCAGATATACTATTTAAGGGGACGCTGAGATTACTTACAATGGAGAATTACTGTTCACTAACTACGGTGCCCACGATCCCAAACCATTAACATATGTGGATGCTAAGGCACATGCAGGTAGTCACGCTATTTTGGGCGTCAAAAGCAGCTCTTTTAGCGATATGCGGCAACAATCACGTGAAAGAGCGCCCGTTCTTCATCTAACCAGGGAAGTCCGCCAACTCACCATGGACCTTTGAATGGAGACCTGGGTAGTTCAATATAACCTATTAGGTGGGGCGAAAAGTCCTGCGACACTTTGGTTGAATTGTTCTAAAAGCAGAGCAAAAAACTTCGAATGTCATCCCTGTTCTCTGGAGTTTCTGGAAATGGGTATATCGTGACTGGTGGAAGATTTTCAAAGCTTTGAAGTCCCTCAGAGATCGACGTACTTTTCGACCTATCCCATATTATGAGTTCCTGCAAGGCAGCTCCGGCGTAGTCGAGGGACCTGCGTTGTCCTCGGGAAGGATGCCATAGAGTCCTATTTGTATCAGCGCTTGAGAGCTGGAGCGGTATTGTGGGCTTCTTCATTCGTTTCTGCGCCACAAAAGTGGTGCAGTTGTTGCCTCTGCGGACCTGACTACCTGCTAACAAAGGGAGAGGAAAATCTCAACTGAACGCGGACGCTGCCTTTAAGGATATGAAACGATTTGTAAGAAGCCTCGATGAATTTCTCCCTCAAAATCTCCTAGGAAATTAGAAATAGCAACCGCAAAGTACCTGACAAACAAGTTGTAGATAATAGTGATGCATATGTTCATGAGTTATTGACGGTATTGGGAGACGAAAAAAAATAAAAAAGTAGGGTGGCCGGAAAACATTTCGCACAATCCAATAGTAGAATCTTTGATACCTCGAACAAAGGAAATTTCGGCCCAGCACATGGAGTGTAAGAGATGTTGCTCTTGCCGCCAGCGAATTCCTTTTTGACATGAACCCAGCAACTCACATCCTTTGAGCATCACAGTGTCACTTTGAATAGGGTTTGACCGTACAATGGTTAGTAAAACTTACAGTATTGCTATGCTTTTGCGTCAATATCAGTACCAAGCGAGGCGAGGGTAGAAGACTCGATAGGCCACCCGGGATCCTCCTGATCCGAATGCATGCATGGAAGTCGGCGTCACCTGCTATCGCACGCCTCTGCTCTGACGCGTGATAATGAATGTAGTTGAGCACTGAACACACTTTGGGCTAATGCCGTTTGGACACGTTAATTTTCGGCAGCGAGCTCATTTTTCGAAAGCTTAAATCACCAAATCCGCTGAACGATTGTTGTAGAGGTAATCTAACATCCTGAGTACGATTATGACATTCATACTGGGAGCTTGCGCTAGTGGAGAACACTACGATTATCTGCCCTCTGCTAAAGCTGAACCCAGAAGATAATCGTAGTGTCCTCCATCAGCGCCAGCGCCAAGAATGAATGTCATATTTGTGAACAGGATGTTAGATTACCCCTATATACAAGTTTTCAGCGGATTTGGTGATCTAGGCACTTTAAAAATGAGCTCGCAGCCAAAAGTGCGCGTCCAAACGGCATCAGCCAACACTGGGTAACAACTGAGTCTTCAGCTGTCAAAGGATTTGCGGATTGGAAGGACCGACCTTTCTTCACTGGTAAGCTGCTTTTTCTCGCATATATAAATTTATGAGGAAGTTTATTCTGTTTGCTTATAGAAAACAACTCAAAAACGAAATATCTTCTTCAACAATTGCATTTTCATTCTGATAGTGAGCACACTCATAATGGATTACATTACCCGCTAGAGGTGAGAACATTTGTAGGAGGACTTGAAGACGCTCCCTGCAATAAACTGAGTCTATAACCTCTTCCATCTGTCAGATGATCGGGCAGAGGGTGTAGAGGTTGCAGTGCATTCAACGCTTGGAAAATATCACGCGAATCACAGTAAACTTCGATTTTTGACCCAAGGAGGCAGATGCCGCCCTACCTTGCACGTGTCATCCTACTAGTGCCGTTGTGCTCTCGCGGGAGACGTGCAGCAGAATCGTCCGGGGCAGCGCCCGCGGCACGCGGCGCGTCGCGCGGCGAATGACTCAGCAGCTCACTTGCATGCATTTGCTAGCCGATAGCTTTGCGACTGGAGCAAATGATTTACTACAGCGTACATCCGCAACATTTAGCAGGTTTCATCAATGATTGAAAATCTAATGATGTTTTTCTTGATAGTAACACACAATTGTTTGGCGGGGAAGTGCCTTTGAGCTTGCAGCCCACTGCCTTCAAACTGCAGCTCAGTAAGTGTTGGAGTCGCGTTGTTGAGACTCGGTATGTCCGAGATCGCGGTAGGGAAAGGGGGGGGGGAGGTGAGAGTCTGCTGGCCTTCTTGTAGAGCGACCATGTAGAGAGAAAGCACTTCCCGCAGTTTCGACTTGACCATTGAGTGGAGCTGGATGAGGGTGAAAAAAGCATGTATGCTCGACCAAGCTGTGGGCTCTGATCCTTCCCTGGTTTGATTATCCATTTGATAGTCAGTCTAATTTAAGTTATGTCCCTGCTTCAATAATACGGGTACACTGTGTAGTACGTGATCACGGTTAATGAGCAACTGTTCGTTATCTGTGCTTCCAGATTTCCATTTCTCATTTCCTTCAATTCCCTTCTTCCCTTCCTTTCTCTTATTTACACATCATGCCATGCATACCATATATGTCTTTGCTCTTCAATTGTGCGCCCCTCTTCTAGTAATAAATTTCAGATTCACTTTGTACACTATCGAGAAGGTTTTGGTACAAACAAGACATATGTGCCCCAGCCGATTGCAGTAGTACATTTCTAAGTTGATCTTTAAAGAGCATTCGGTAGTTTATATTTTCTGTTTGTGGCAGGTAGCAGTACGATTTGTGGCGACTGATAAAGCACTTGACGGAATCGACAATCTCATCATTGCTGCAAGCGGTTCGAGTGCGGTATTCGATATTCGATAATAAAATACACAATATAAACATTTTTTAAACAATAGACGTGTCACTGAGAACACTTCCACTGTTTAATAAAACGCGCATTCCCACCCTGATTACGAGAGTTGAGTAGATACTTCCATTTAGATGGTAGCAAGTTACGTAACCTCACAAGGTGTCTCACGTTCGCCGCTCAAAAGCGAGCTGTATGTAGGCGAGACCCTGGTGATATGGGTAATGTTCCATCAACTTACTTGGCTCAGTGGTACGGTTTCTCCACAACCAGTCGTTTCCATTGCCTATCGTGAGAATGACGTGGTAAGGGAAAGATCACATCGTTGATACTGCTAGGGTATCAGCAAAGGAGAATTTATCTTGACCCACCCGCTTCCCGCCGTATGCTTCTGCAAACTTGTATT